TGTCACTTGAGTGAGAGGCCTGTCATCCGGTGAAGGCTGTTTCATAAATCGCGGCCCAGGTTATATGTGACGCGTAGATGGACTGCTCAGCCAATCACCGCGCCCGACCTCATTACCAGTTGTGTGAAGGGCTAGGACAGCTAGCTGATTCGTAAGGGAGGGGGGGGGAGCGACGGAGTGATAGAGACACCGGAAAATCCATGCTCATGGCAAATCAACGCATGGCTTGAAACGTTGCAAATTCACAAGATGAGTGAGACCGTGCACATATGGAACGAGGACTAGGTCGGACGTCACATATAGTTCAGTATATTTAGGGTAGTAGGCAATGCCTTTATATGTAGACAGGTTGGCTAGCTCGGCCACAACTGCTCCAATTTTGATGTCCAATCGTCTTGCCATCGGAACATGGTGTGCGAAGGAGAAAATCCTGCGAAAGTCTGCCTCACGTTAAACCAGTTCAAGCAAAATTCACCGGTAATACATTCACTCAATAGGCCTTTCGTAGACTTTGTTGTTTGCCAGCGCCGAACTGCTAGCCTATTAGGAAAACTAATAACGCCAAATAAGTATTGGCGTTGTCCTTACCATCGAAATGGAACAATAATTTCCGAGGCTATTGCACTATTAGAAGTCAAGTAGAGGAAAATCTATACCGGATTTAGATGGACAACAACCCGGCAACTAATCCCTTTCCGCATCTACACTGCCAAAGCACATACCCGGTTCGCGTTGATGTATGCACCACCATTGCATCCATCGTAGCACCACCACCATCATGAACGTGAACGTCGCCAGTTGTCCCGGAAACATCGAGAATTCTGACCAATCTCTGCACTCCTGACTACAACGAATTTCCGCTCCTGGGCAGATCGGCTAGTTCTCTGTCCTTTTTCCACCTTCGTACATCCATATCTTCCTTTCTGTTACAGTTTCACAAGACATCAAGTGCCGAAGCACTGCAAACTAGGTAAACTTGAGTGATCAGCAGCTGGCCGCGTGCACTCT